ATGGCTCTAAGTTTCTATAGTCATTATGAGATCTGTGTGTATGTGCATATACATCTGCAGGCATACATACACTATCTGCTATTTACATGCACTTAAAAAAAAAGTGTATTTATTTTGAGAGAGAGAATCCCAAGCAGTCTCTATGCTGCCAGTGCAGAGCCTGACACAAGGATTGATCCCACAAATCATGAGATCATGACCTGAGCTGAGATCAAGAGCCAGATGCTTAACCAACTGAGCCACCCAGATGCCCCTACTTAACTTTTTAAGAATGTTACATAGCTCACACAGTAAGAAGGGAAGCTACTCTTCACCCATCTTTTTCCCCTTGTCCAGCCAAGAGAGTTAGAGCTTCTACTCTATGAGTTACCTTGCATTTACCAGATGTGAAATCCTATTATTACAAGATATACTATTATTTTAAAAGATTAGCTATATAAACAACACATTCAAACAAAAAATTCAAAAGCCAGATATACTCAACTTTACCAAAGCAATATTAAAATTGAGCATAGTGTATTTAGTAAGTCTAAGACAGTGAGTCTAAACCCCGATGATATGTCATAGTTATTAAAAAATGTAGCTGCCACTCAGAGCCACTAAAGCAGAGGGCCTATGTAGGGGCTGGATACATATATACATATACATACATATACACACACACATACACACATAAGTTTCATCACTGATTCTGCTCCCCAGCCAGGAAAAGAATCCCTAATACAAAATACCAGGTTTTTTGGGGGGGTTTCTTTTAAATAACCTGACATTCTTTTTTTTTTTTTTTTAATTTTTTTTCAACGTTTTTTATTTATTTTTGGGACAGAGAGAGACAGAGCATGAACGGGGGAGGGGCAGAGAGAGAGGGAGACACAGAATCGGAAACAGGCTGCAGGCTCCGAGCCATCAGCCCAGAGCCTGACGCGGGGCTCGAACTCACGGGCCGCGAGATCATGACCTGGCTGAAGTCGGACGCTTAACCGACTGCGCCACCCAGGCGCCCCTAACCTGACATTCTTAAACACAAATAAAATTGATACATTGTCAAAAAAATGTTTTTAATGCAAGGACTAAATAATTGATTTATTTAAATTGTCTGAATGAATAGGATTCATGAGCTGTGAAACTGGTCTACAATAGCATCTTTGGCAGAATCAAAGGCCTGCAAAAGAATAATTTAAAGGAGAAGAAAGAAAGCAAAGGGAGAGAGGTATTCGGTATTCAGGTAACCAGATGAAGTTATCATAATATTCAACTGCTGATCAAAACAATAATGCTGAGTCATCTAATAAAATGCATAAGTCTCTCTCTCACATATCTACTTATCAGTTATCTTGGAACTTCATTTAAAAAGAAACACTTTCTTACTTTCTGTTTTATACAAGGAAGCTGAGATACCAAGACTATAAAATTTGTGCCAGGTTCTACAGCAAGCGCATCAAAGAGCTGAGTGAGTGGGTGCTCTCAACCAGTGCACATACTGCCTGCCACCTGTGGGGTGGGTGTGAAGGAGGAAGAGAAAGAGGAAAACAAGAAGGGATGGAGAAAAAGGGAGGTGAAGGGAGGCTAGAGGTGACCTTCTCATGAAGGCAGCAAAAAGACTCTTGAGTGCCTTGCCCCAGCTACTGATCAGTCTCCACTACACTAGCCCACTAGTGTTCAGGGTCTGAGTGCAGAACTCTGGCTACACTCCCATCAACTCCCTCCTCCATAAAACCCATCTAGATCTGCCTGCCTCTCAGGACACTCTTTGCTGCTTTTTAAATTCATCAGCAATGACAGATCTGTGATGAAAGGTGTTATGTTGCAAGGGAAATATGTGAGTTATCTGCCATTAGCATTTAGATTTGAACAAGGATGTTCTGTGACAATGCTCTAACCCAAAGACATCAAGTTCATACTTCGAAGATACTCTCAGGTAGGCAGAAGGAAGACAGAGCTTGGGAACAGAGCAGACACCCAAGACCTCACCCTTTAATTAAATGACAATCCAACCTTTTAGAGTAATAGCTGTTTGCATTTTAAATTTCTTTACAAACTATAAAATGTCTTTATTTCACCCCCATGCAATTCTACAAGGGTAATATTTCCTGTTTGATAGATACAGAAACCAACTCAGAGATACTAGAGATAGGGTAAGTGCAAAGTAAAGACCTTAACGCAGGCGTTGTGACTGGAGATATAGTGCTCCTCCCATAACTGCTTTCCTGGGCATGGAGGTAAGTCTAAAGGTCCAAGAGGCATCCAGTTTCAGATCAAACACCAAGTTGCTATTGCTAATGAGATCAAGCTGACAAGATATATAGTGTGGGATAACCTAGCACTACAAAGTAATGGTGATGAATTTATTATTTTTTTCCATGAAACCAAATCTAAAAAGTTATTTTCATAATCATTTTTTTAAACAAATCCTTCCAGGCTTACAAACACCAAAGGCAACAAAATCTGTCTGCGGCACACTAAAGCCACACGATTTAGATTGGTAGCAATGACACAGTGTCAGCAACCTAGAAAACTAGTTTGTGTCAATGACCCCAGTTGAAAAATATTTCAAAGTATTCTATAGTATCCTTTTTATTTTAGTCTTTCACCTATTCGCAGTGTACAGAACACACAGAAATTCCGTTTAAAAATTGTGGTGGGAATCCTCCATATTATATGGCTTTGAGCCTGCACAGGATACTTATTTGATTAGAGTTGGTTGATAAAGGCCTAAAGCAGAGTTCAGTCCACAGAAGAGACTAATTGCTTTCTTTTCCAAGATTCACTTTTCCCCTTTTAGTCCCCGCCAACCATGTTGTGCAGACGTGGCATTTGTTGAAAGGGCTGCTTGGATGAGGTGGAAGGACAGCAGTATAAAAGCATGGCCACTCCAGGTGATACTGTGTCCCTGGTCTCAAGGTGCTTCCAGACCTGGAAACACTAACATCGCCTGGGCACTTGCTAAAAACACACATGCTCCTACCCAAGACCGACTGATTCAGAAGCAGCAGTCTGTGCTTTAACCAGCCCTCCACGTGACCTGTGGTAGGCTGAAGTTTGAGAACTACTACCCTAAGTTGATCATTAGAGAGCATCAACTTCCAATTTAAAGGATCCTATCATTAATTATAATACTGGTATACTGTAAAATTTGCATAGAAATATGATTCCTGCTCTTTCCCATCTTGCAAGATGGTGGGCGAAAAAGCTGAGAAGCCGGATACTACGGAGAAGAAACCTGAAGCCAAGAAGGCTGATGCTGGTGGCAAGATTAAGAAGGGTAACCTCAAGGCTAAAACTCCAAAGAAGAAGAAGCCCCACTGCAGCCGAAACCCTGTCCTAGTCAGAGGAATTGGCAGATATTCCCGATCGGCTATGTATTTGACTAAGGCCATGTACAAGCGAAGTATTCAGCAGCTAAATCCAGAATTGAAAAGAAAAAGGAGAAGGTTCTTGCTACTGTCACAAAACCAGTTGGTGGTGATAAGAATGGTGGTACCCGAGTGGTTAAACTTCACAAAATGCCTAGGTATTATCCTACCGAAGATGTGCCTCAGAACCTGTTGAGCCATGGCAAAAATCCTTTCAGTCAGCATGTGAGGAAACTGCGAGCTAGCATCACTCCTAGGGCCATTTTGATCATCCTCACTGGGTGCCACAGAGGCAAGAGAGTGGTTTTCCTGAAGCAACTGAGCAGTGGCTTGCTACTTGTGACTGGACCTCTGTCTCTTAATTGAGCTCCTCTGTATAGAACACACCAGAAATTTGTCATTGCCACCTCCACCAAAATTGATATCAGCAGTGTGAAAATCCCCAAACACCTCACTGATGTTTACTTTAAGAAGAAGCTGCGTAAACCCAGACGCCAGGAAGGTGAGGTCTTCAACACAGAGAAAGAAAAATATGAGATTACAGAGCAGTGCAAGGTTGATCAGAAAGCTGTGGACTCGCAAATTCCACCAAAAATCAAAGCCGGTCCTCAGCTTCAGGTCTACCTCTGCTCTGTGTTTGCTCTCACAAATGGAGTTTACGCTCACAAATTGGTGTTCTAAATTTCTTACAAAGAACCTAATTAA